AATTAAAGCACCAATGCAGAAGACCCAATAGCTCACTAGTAAGAGTACTAGAAAGAGAGAACAAAAGTACAATGGTATTTGCCAGAACTGGAGAATATAAGCTCCCAGAATTGAAAGAGCTCATTGAGTACCCAGCATACTGAATGAAAAGAGATACACACATACAGGCACAGCATTATAAAATTTCAGAATGCTAGAGGTAAACTTTGTAAAAGCATCCATAAAGGAAAGAAAAAAAGTGACATGAAATAAAATAAAACTAGGTCACATCCAAGTAGCAGGAATTCTCAGCACCAATATGTAGTGATGAAAACACTGAATCAAAGCTCTCAAAAATTCTGATTGAAAATCATTTTTCAGTCTAAACTTCTACACTCAGTTACCTTATCCAGTGTGGGATTAGAATTTAAAAATCTAAACCAGATAAATGTCCAATATGCCAACAATATCACATATGCAGTATCCTTTCCAAAATATTGAAGCAAAATGTAATTATGAGAATAATCAAACAAGTTCAGAATGTGAGACAGTCTACAAATAATTGGTCTAGACAACTCAAAAAGGCAGTGTAATGGAAACCAATAAAAGTCTGGAAGAGTTTGATAGGGATTGCATTAAATGTGTAGATTGCTTTGGGTAGTATAGACATTTGAACAATATTTGGTCTTCCAACACATGAACATGGAATGACTTGCCGTTTCTTTGTGTCATGTTCAATTTATTTCATCAGTGTTTTATAGTTTTCAGAATACAAGTCTTTTACCTCTTTGGTTAGATTTGTTCCTAGGTATAGTATTGGTTTTTTGTGCAATTGTAAATGGAACTGATTCCTTAATTTCTCTTTCTGCTACTTCATCATCGGTGCACAGAAATGCAACTGATTTCTGTATGTCGATTTGGTATCCTGCAACTTTACAGCATCTTTCACAGTGCTAGAAGAAACAATCCTAAAATTTGTATGAAACCACAAAAGACGCCGAATACCCAAAGCAATCTTGACATAGAAGAGCAAAGCTGGAGGCATCACAATTCTGGACTTCTGTAGTGATCAAAACAGTATGGTACTGGCATAAAAACACACATATTGATAAAGTAGGACAAAACAGAAAACCCAGAAATGAACTCACAACCATATGACCAATTAATCTGCAACCAAGCAGAAAAGACTATCCCACAGGAAAAAGACAGTCTCTTCAACAAATGGTGTGAAAACTGGAAGGCAGCACCACTTCCTTATATCATACACAAAAATAACTTCAAAATGGATTAAAGATCTAAATGTGAGACATTAGGAAGTCTAGTTAAAATCCTAGAGGAGAGCACAGGCAGTAACCTCTTTGACACTGGCCATAGCAACTTCTTTCTTAGATATGTCTCCTAAAGCATGGGGAAAAAAGCAAAAATAACCTATTGGGTTTACATCAAGATCAAAAGCTTCTTGCACGGTGAAGGAAACAATCAACAAAACTAAAAGGCAACCTACAGAATGGGAGAAGGTATTTGCAAATGACCTATCAGATAAAGGGTTAGTATCCAAACTCTATAAAGAACTTCTCAAACTTAACCCCCATAAAATAAATAGGCAGAAATGGGCAGAAGACATGAATAGACATTTTTCCAAGGAAGACCTCCAGACAGCTAACAGACACATGAAAAGATGCTGAACTCACTCATTGTCAGGAAGTACAAATCAAAATCACCATGAATATCACCTCACACCTGTCAGAATGGCTAAAATTAACAACACAGGAAACAAGAGGTGTTGACAAGGATGCAGGAAAGGAGAACTCTCTTACACTGTTGGTGGGAATGCAAACTGGTACAACCACTCTGGAGAACAGTATAGAGGTTCCTAAAAAGTTAAGAATAGAAAACAACCCTATGATCCAGCAATCAGACTACTAGGTATTTATCAAAGGATACAAAAATACTAATTAGAAGGGATACATTCAGCCTGATATTTATAACACCATTATGTACAGCCATTATGTACCATTATGGAATCAGCCTAAGTTCCATCAACTGATGAATGGATAAATAACAGATATATATATATATATATATATATATATATATATATATGTATAGATATATATATATATATATAATGGTGTGTGTGTATACATATACATATACATATACATATACATATACATATACATGTATATATATATATATAATCTATATAGAGAGGGAGGGGATATTACTCAGCCATAAAAAAGAATGAAATCCTGCCATTTGCAATGACATGGATGGAGCTACAGAGTATTATGCTAAGTGAAATAAGTCAGAGAAAGACAAATACTGTGATTTCACTCATATGTTGAATTAAAAAAACAAAACAACCCAGCAGGGGGGGGGGTGGGGGGAAGAGAGGGAGGCAAACCAGGGAGAAAACAAAGAGAGGTAGGCAAACCAAGAAACAAACAGACTGTTAATTCACCCCTGAGGTTGGGGGTGGGGGGGTAGATGTGTAAATTAGGTGACGAGGATTAAGGAGGGTACTTGCGGTAATGAGCACTGGGTGTTGTATGGAAGTATTGATTCACTATATTGTACACCTGAAACTAATATTACACTGTATGTTAACTAACTGGAATTTAAATAAAAACTTAACAAAAAACCTGGAGGACTACATTAGTTCTAAAAATACTAAGCAGACATAATAACCAAATGCAATTCACAAATCTTGATTGGATTCTGATTTTTAAAAGGTAGCTGTAAAAGATGTTTTTGACGATAGCAGAATTTTGACTATGGACTGCACAGTAAATGATATTTGGGGATTATTAGGAGTGTTTTTGGTGGGAGTAATACCATTGTGTTTATGTAGGAGAATATCCTTATACTCAGGAGATCCAAGCTGAAGTATTTAGGGATGAAATATCAGATATCCAGAATGGATAGAGAGAAAGAGAGAGAAAGAATAAGTATCACTTTCCAATATACCACTTAGTAAAAGTTACTGAAAGAGATATTTCAGGAAGAAAAGAGAACTGGTGAAAATGGAATTTGGTAAAAGATTTCATATACAAACAGTGGTGGTGGGGTGGTGGGGTGGTCCTTAGGAAAACCACTCTGCTCTCAGTCCAGACCAGAGTGCAATAAGTTGGCCTTGTGAGAGAGACTCTCCAGGTAACACAAAACAAAATGATAGATTATCTGGTATTGTTGAATATTTTAAAATATGATTGCTAGTTTGATATAACTGTTGGGATAATTAAAAACAAATAATTTGAATTATATAGAAAATCAAGAAAATAATAAAATGAATGAGGAATTATTAACATTAGGAAAAACAAAAAGTATGTGAGAATAAAAAAATAAGTGTGTTAATCTATTTGGAATCTTAGTGAATAATATTTATTGTTATTTAATGATAATGTAGATATTGACTAACGAAAGTTATGATGAAAACTATGTTAATGTGTAGGGAAAATATGGGGAAGAGTCTATAACAGAACTAAATCCTTTACAACCTGAAGGGCTAGCCAATAGGAAATAATCAAAATTCATAAATCAAGGAATGTTAATTTAACCATATTACTTAATAACACAAAAATTAATACTAAAATAATAGATGAAAAAAACTTAAAGAGAACCAGGAGTTAGAGAGGGACAAGGAAGTGCTGTTTTTTGGCCATAAACCCTTTAGTATTATTTTTAAATAATCTTATACGTTAAAATAACTTCCAAATATTTAATTTTTTAATTCAATAGGAATCTAATTAGAATATTCAAAGATCAACTGGAGAAACTATTGCATACTGCAGAGCAAAAATATGATGAGATGGAAACCATAAGTGGAAAAATAAAAGAAATTGAAGTCAGACTCCGAAAACCCCATTTATAAATAATAGCATTATATAAACGGTAAACCAGATGGAGAAGTCATAATATTTTTAAAACTTTCTTAAATTCATGAAAATTATTAGTTTTCAGATTAAGTGGGATCAATGATCTTAGTCAAGATTGAAGTAGAAACTTTCATATCCACACATTTTTTAAGTTTCTGAACACAATAGAGAAATTTATAATCCTCCAGACTGAAATGAAGTTATGAACTTGTGGGATGGGTTGGAAATGCATTCCAGGGAAAGAGACATACCAGCAAAGGTCCAGAAGCAGAAAAACCAGAGGTTTTTTCAGAAGTAGGGAATAGTCCAGGTGGATGGCTAGGGTTTCGAATAAAGTCAGTGACTACAAAGGGAAATAAAACTAAATCTCTCACTAAGTGATCGAATAACTGCTAGCTTGCTTTCACATTCTGCAATGACAAGTCTGCCTTAGCTTTGATACCATTTTAGTTAGATAATAAGACTCACCACCAACATCATTTTGTTTATGAGACTTAAAAAGTATAGAACGCACAGCAAAATAAATGGTCTTTCTTTCTTTTTTCCTCTTCCCTTCCTTCCTTCCCTCTATCCTCCCTCTCTCCTTCCATCCCTTTCTTTCTTCCTTCTCTTCCTTCTCATCTTCCCTTCTTCCCTTCCTTTTCCATCTTCTTTCCTTTTTCTTCCCCCTCCCTTTATTCTTTTTGTTTGTTTTGCAATGATGACTATCATTTTCTCACTGCAAGTTGATCACAACTTAAGGATCCCGTTTTTATAGGGTAAGAAAAAAAAAACTCCCAGTGGGGCTGTAAAAAATAAAACCACCATTATATTAGCACACTATCTACCTATAATATTTTCAAAAAAAAAATTTATTTTTCATTCATTTTCTTCAGTACTACTGATCAAAATTCTGGATAAATCCTAGAGCAGGTATTGCTACTTCAATGATGTGCTGAGTTCAATTATTAAACATATTCTGATCCATGAAATATTATTCAAGGTTATGAAAAAATTGTTCATCTAGTAAAATCTGATGCAGAGTAACTAAGCAAACATAAAAACTAAATTAAGGTCACATTATATAAAATCTCATTAAGCAAAAACAGACCAAAGTTAATCAAGTTGATTGCTAATAGGTCTCTCTACCATTTTCTGCCTCAGGGGTATGATGATGGCTACGGGGGTGAATATGATGACCAGACCTATGAGACTTATGATAACAGCTATGCCACCCAAACGCAAAGGTAAGGCATTTGCTGTCTAAAGCATCCTTGTCAGGATTATTTCTAATCCTGCTATTTTGTTTCTTGTATCAGAGTACCAGTTATATTATGTGAGAGTTTCTAGCAGTGGTTTTTCTCCATTGTCTCTCTAAATTACTAAATTGCTTACTAGACTGAGGTAAAAGAAAATAATCTAGCAATTGTTAGTAATGGTAGTGTGTTGGGAAGACTTGGTGGCTCAGTCAGTTCAGCGACGGACTCTTGATTTAAGCTCCAGATATGATCTCAGGGTTTCTGAGATCAAGCCTGCTAGGGATTCTCCCTCTCCCTCTGTCTGCCCCTCCCCAACTCATTTGCATGCGTGCGTCCTCTCTGTCTCTCAAAAAATTTTTAAAAATAATAGTAGTGTGTTATTTTAAGACTAGGTGATTATCATAACCAGTAAAACTCATTAAATAAGTTTTATGTAACAAAATACTGTTTTAGAAATTATTTTAGTAAATTCATAATTAACACAACAATGAAACACAAAGCACTTGCTCAATGGAGCTTTTTCCTCCTAAATGTAATTTTTAAAAAATATTTATGTATTTATTTGAAAGAGAAAGAGCATGCATGCCAGCAGGGGAGGGGCAGAGAGAGAGAGGGAGAGAGAGAATCCCAAGAAGGCTCTGTGCAATTAGAGCAGAGCCACATGTGGGGCTTGATCTCAAGAACTGTAAGATCATGAACTGAGCTTACATGAACTTTGAAATCAAGAGTCAGATGTTTAACCAGCTGAGCCACCAGTCACCCCTGTAATTTTTATTTGTAAAACAAAAGATACAGGAATGCTTTTAGTGCTCTGAAAAGGGAAAATTTGTAGAACATCTTATGGAATGAATAATTTCTTTCCTATTTTGATGGATCTCTAAATCATTATTGACTATATCTCTTTAGATTGATTAAATTTGAAATATCAATGAATTTTTACTTCTTTAAAGTCATTTTTTTTTTGAGGTAGTATTTACATACATTAAACTTTGCCCATTTAGGGTACAGAGTTTGTATGAGTTTGGCAAATGCAAACTATCAAGTGACCAACATCAAACTTAAGTTATAGGGCAAATTAGTCAGCCCCAAATGTTTTTTTATGGCTCTGTACAGCCAACTTTTCCTAGGCCCTGAAAACCACAATCAGTTTTTTGCGATTACACTTTTGACTTTTCTAGAATGTCATTTAAGTAGAGGTGATACAATATGTAGGCTTTGAGTCTGGCTTCTTAGCATGATGTATTTGATATTTATTTTATGTTTTTACGTGTATCAAATTTCTCTTCCTTTTCATTACTATGTAGTGCTTCATTGTTAGGATGTGCTATAGTTACTTCATTCATGGGTTGAAGGACATATAGGTTGTTTCTGTTTTACTTTTTTTTCAATTATGTAAAAAAAATTGGCATGAACAAATTCATTCTTAGAAAAATCAATCTTCTAAATATTTTTCTGAAAAAAAAAGTTACAATTAACATGGGAAAGTAGGAGGAGTCGATATGACAGTTAAGTAATTCTTCACTACCTATAATTGATGGAAACCAATAAATTAATTGTTGCAAAATCATAGCATTGTCCATTTATTTTATTTTTTTTT